TGCCGGCGCTTCTCAGCAGCGTGGTTAGCTCCTCCACATCATTCATGGACTCCAGCTGCCCTGCCAGCCGTGCTAGTGCAGCCAGCCCGCTGTTCAGCTTCCCGATGCTGAGAGTGCAGCCAGTTTTCCTTGTTGTCCTGTCGCTCAGCACGGAAGCGCTTTAATGCCAGGGCTTCCTGCTCACGCTCCAGCTCCTGCCGCTGCAGCTCCCGGATGGCTGAACCGATGAGCCGCCGCTCTGCCAGATCTGCTGTGACCTCTAGCAGTTTCCGGAGGGCTCCCTCATCCAGCCCAGCTAAGGCTTCGTCTGCCATCTTGCTGTCCCCTAGCTCCGTCGTGACTTTCCTGGTGATATCCCCAGTGCCTACTGCACCTGAAATCACCTCAGGGAATTCTCTCAGTCCAGCGCGTCCGTCCGGCGTGGGCTCGGGTTAGCTCACTTCGGATACGACAGAAAGTTTGGCCGGAGGAGCAGAGCCCTGGGTTTCCAGGGCCCCTCAGCAACCGTCCCCTGCACTCTGCTCTCAAAGTAGCTTTTGATAATCTTCTGAATTTCACTGGGTCTGTGGTAATTACACCCTTTTTACTTCCTTATTGCTTGTATTTGAATTTTTTTTTTCCTGTTTTTGAAGAGGTTAGGTAGGGGCTTATCAATTTTATTTAATCTTTCAAAGAACCAGCTTTTTGCTTTTTTAGTTCTTTGAATTGTTTTCTTCTTCTCAATTGAAGTAATTTCTTCTCTAATCTTTATTATTTCTTCCTGTCTTTGGGTTCTGGCTTTGGTTTGCTGTTCCTTTTCTAATTGTTGAAGGTGCAGCATTAGGGTATTTATTTGTTCCCGTTCTGTTTTCCTAATGTTTGAGTTCACAGCTATGAATTTTCCCCTGAGAACTGCTTTCATTGTATCCCATAAATTCCGATAAGTTGTGCTTGAATTTTCATTGAATTGTAGGTATTGTTGAATTTCTTGTTTAATTTCATCTGTGACCCATTGGTTGCTGAGTAGGGTGTCATTTAATTTCCATGTATTTAATGGGTTTTTTTTTCTGTTTTCTTTTGTCATTTATTTCCAGTTTTATTGCACTGTGGTCAGATAATGTGCCTGGGATAATTTCTGTTTTCTTACATATACTTAAGCATGACTTATGGACCATTATGTGGTCTCTTTTAGAAAATGACCCATGTGTAGCTGAGAAAAATGTGTATTCAGCTGTGTTTGGGTGGAACACTCTGTATATGTCTATGAAGTCCATTTGTTTCAAGCTCTGGTTCAGTTGTTATTTCATTGCTAATTTTTTGTCTGGTTGATCTATCTTTTGGGGATAAGGAGGTATTAAGATCTCCTGTTAAGATTATGGTATTGCATATTAGATTTTTCATGTCCATTGAGATTTGCTTTACATAATTGGGTGCTCCCGTGTTTGTTGCATACATATTTATGAGTGTTACTCTTTCCTCTAGATTTTTTCTCCTAACCAGTATATAGTGGCCTTCTTTATTTCACTTGATCATTGTTGGTTTGAAGTTGAGACTGTATAAGAATAGGATTGCTACACCTGCTTTTTTCTGAGGTGCTGGGGCATGAACTATTGTGTTCTATCCTTTGACTTTCAGCCTATGAAAGTCTTTATGAGTTAAATGTGTTTCTTGTATACAGCATATTGTTGGATTTTGTTTCCTAATCCACTGTGCCAGTTTACTTCTCTTAATTGGTGAAGTGAGTCCATTTACATTGATGGTTAGAATTGAGATGTATTGACTTATGATTGACATGTTATTTACCTGTTGTCATTTACTCCTTTTTCTCCTGTGTTTAATTGCTTGCCCTATTTAGTTGGTTGCTTCTGATCTCATTCATGGAGTTCTGATCATTTTGGTCCCTCTCTAGAACATCTTTCAGTAGCCTGTGTAGGGTTGGCTTTGTCATCATGAAATTCTTTAGCTGTTCCTTTTCATGAAAGTATTTCACTTCTCCATCAAACTTGAAAGAGAATTTTGCAGGATATAGTAGTCTGGGCTGGAATTTGTTTTCATAGAGAACTTGAAGTACTGTGCTCTATGCTCTTCTTGTCTTCATTGTTTGTGAAGAGAAGTCGGCTGTAATTCTGATGAGTTTTCCTTTGAATGTGATCTGCTTCTTTTCTCTAGCGGCTTTCAGTATATTATTCTTGTGCTGAATTTCTGGGATCTTGACCATTATATGTCTTGGTGTGTTTTTCTTGGGTTGAGGTTACTTCATGTTCTGTATGCTTCCATTACCTGAATGTCAGATTGTTTCCTCATATTTGGGAAGTTTTCTGCTATTACTTCTGCCCATGTTTTTTTAAATGTCATTTGTATTGACTCTTTCTCATTGATGCCTATTAGTCTCACGTTGTTCGTCTTTGCATCATCTTGCAGGTGATGGATTATTTTTTCCTGCATCCTGGTTGTTTTTTTTAAGAGATCCTTTCTTATCTTTTCACTAGCGGTACCAGCATCTTCAAGATCTGAAACTGTCTTCGCTTTCGCTTAAACAGTTTTGCAAGCTTGTGATTGAGATTTTAATTTCCTCTATATTTCTTTGACTCTACTTTATGCTATCTATTTCTTTCCTGTATTGCTCATTCAAGGAATCCGTCATTTTTCTAATCTCCTCTATTTTCTTTTTATCAGTGTCTTCTCTAGAAGAAGTTATAAATTCTTTTACTGCAGTGTTTTTTTCAGATTGGTTTTCATCCCTATATTTCTGTAGTTGATTCTTTACTTCAGATGCTATGAGTTCTGAGAATTCTTTTTTATTTGAGAAAATAATTCTGCTCTGAGTTTCTCTATAACTTTCTGCTGTTGCATATTTACTATCGCTGCTATTAGTTTGTACATTTGAGCTGAGCTAGTACAAAGGAATTCCGCTCTGATTTCCTCTATGCCTTTCTGCTGTTGCTTTTTTACTGTCGACGCTATTAATTCATACATTTGTACTGAGCTGGTGTCCTCTGCACTTGTTCTGGGTGGGCATTGGGTTTCCTCCATATGTTTCTGCATTTGATTGTTTACTAAAGATGTTAATAATTCAGAGATTTCTTTTTTCATTTCCAATCTTAGTTCCTCTATATCTTTCTGCAGCTGTTTCTTTATTTCAGAAGCCGTTGATTCATTGCTTTCAGCTGTGTGATTCCGAATTTGTTTTGTGTTAGTGTCCTCTGCACTTGTTATGAGTGGGCTTAGGGTCTGAGATTGCATTTTGCTCCTTCTTGTTGTCATTTTGTGTAGCACTGTCTTTTGACCTTTTTTGTAGATCTTTGTTGTAGTTATAGCCTTAGCACCTACTGGAGTTCAGGTGTCACTCTATAAAGTTTGGATTTTTCCAGCTGTACCTGGCTTAGGTCTGGCTGCTGTGCTCAGTTCCTTCCTGTTGCTGACCTTGGGGGTGAATCTGTTGTGCCCCTCTGGCAAGATGTTCTGCTCCTGGACTAACTGGGTGGTTCTGTCCCGTACACTGTCTGCAGGGATTGCAGCTGAAGGGTTTCTCCTTAGGCTTGTATGCCAGGCCTGAGCTGAGTCTGGAGGGGACCAGGTGGAGTAGGGAGGAGAGGAAGCTGTCCCACACACTCCCTGTGCCTGGGCTAGGACTGGATATAGGGGTCCCCAGAATGCAGCAGAAATTCTCACTGGGTTGGCGGGGTGAGGGGGTGCTGCGCAGTGGTGGTGGGAGTCCCAAAGAGGTGGAAGAGGGTCTCACCCATGCTGTGCCTGGGCACCGACTGGCAGGTCCTGTCTTTGCAGAGTAGTGGGAAGCTCTCCCACAGCCTCACTGGGCGTGGGCTAGGGCTGGATCTGGGGGTCTCCAGAATGCGGCAGATATTCTCACTGGTGGGTAGGGTCGATGGAGTGCTGTGGAGTGTTGGGGGAGGGTTCCCAGGAGGGTGGTAGAGGGTTTCACCCATGCTGTGCCTGGGCTGAGACCAGTAGGTCCCACTGGCTCAGGGTAGCTGGAAGCTCTCTCACACACTCACTGGACCTGGCTAGGACTGGATCTTGAGTTTGAGTTTCATAGAGTCCATATGTAAATGACATGGTACAGTATTTGTCTTTTCTGTGCCTACCTTATTTCACTTTGCATAGGTCAGCGGTGGTGAGCGTACAGTGCCTATACCTTTTCTGGTTAGCAGAGCCCTCCGTCCACGTGTGGACCAAGCCATCCAGCATTGCCCTTAGTGGCAGAGCACAGGATACTCGGGTTTAACCATGGTATTGGCACTTTTTGATAAGTGAGTAGGCTTTGGCTGCACTTTGGGATTGGTCTCCGAAAGGTTTGTGCTCTCTGGCAGAGGTTCATTTGCCTTATGGAAACTGATAGGGTTTCATTCTATTAGAGGGCCAAGAAGAATGTTACTATGCACTTTGTACTACATTTTCTTTCCCTTTTCATTCCTTGATAGATGCACACATTGATCCTGTATCTTGTTTATCATGATTAATGCTGCTGTGGACATGGAATTACAGATGCGTCTTCAAGACTGACTTTATTCCCCTTGGATGTATGCCCGCTAGTCCAATCGCTGGATCATAGTTCTGCTTTTAGTGTTATGAGAAACATCCATACTGTGTTACCCAAAGGCTGTACTTACATTCCCACTAACATTGTACAAGTGTTCTTTTCCCTCTATAGCCTTGCCCAAACTTGCCAACTTTTGTCTTTTTTTAAATAGTAACCTTTCTACCAGGCATGAAGTGATATCTTGTCATGATTTTAACTTGTATTTCTTTGGTGATTAATAATATATATTTCTTGATTCCTGTGTTGGCTATCTTTTGGATATGTCTACTCAGGTCCTCTCCTCATTTTAAATTCAGGTTATTTGATTTTTTATTATTAAATTATCTGAAATCCTTACACATTTTGTATATTAAATTTTGAATGAGATTTATGGTTGGGGCTTATATTATTCCAAATCAAATGTTGTCTCTTTACTTAACAAAATAGGAGCTATATGTGCTAAGTCTATAGTTAATGGTGAAAAGTTGGGCACTTTTCCTCTGGGAGTGAGGCCAAGGCAACATCATACTGGAAGTCCAAGTTAGAAAGGAAGACATTAACTTGTCTTTGTTTGCCTATTACATGATAATATATAAAAACACTCTAAAGCCTCCAACAACAAAATGTTAATGTTAACATTAACAAAATGTTAATTAATAAATGAATTCAATAAGGTTGCAGAATGCAAAATCACTGTACAAAAATCAGTAGCCTGGGGTAGCATAAAAACAGACACATTAGCCAGTAGAACAGGCAAATCCCAGACATAAACCCATGCTCCTATGGCCAACTGGTTTTTGACAACAATGCCAAGAATACACAATGGAGAGAGGACGGTCTCTTCAATAAATGGCTCTGAGAAGCTATATGTTGACATACAGAAGAATAAAATTAAATTCTCATCCTGCATTATCTAGAAGCATCAACTCAGAATAGATTAAAGACTTGAGTATATGCCTTTGAAGCTGCAGAATCACTGAAGGAAATAAGGAAGAAGGTTTGTAACAATGGGTTGGGCAATGATTTTTTATGTATCTTTTGCTTTGAGTCAAAAAAGAGAGGCAACAAAAGTAAAAACAGACAAACGGGATTGTATCAAACTGAAAGGATGTGTTTCAAAGAAAGCAATCAATGGAATAGAGATGTTAATATTTTCTCTTGATATTTTAAATTTGCATACTCTAAATCTACAAACAACTGTAACCCAATGATACCAGCAATAAATTATATTTCTAGACAAGGAACTCTAAGCCCCATACTGTTACAGTGAACTTTAAATTCATGTCCAAATTATTTTGTTGTAGTGGAATTGCATTGCATTGGTAAACTAAATTCAAGAACTGGCACTACAAATAGATTACTGTTTGTTCTGAGTCATCCTGTGCTTTTAGTATTTTGACTTGTACTTTAAAATATTCAAATGCACTGCTATTGTAGCATTCAAATTCACAGCCATCTGTATCACTTATAGCTGTTAGAATAGAATAGTCATAAATGGCTCACAGTGGAGGATGACACACTGTGTTTTTGAGTGTGAGAGCATCCCTAGGAAATGATCACTATGCTAGTTGATTCTATTACCATAGATGTTAATCATTTGAAAATATTTGTTGGCCCTTCCATCTCTGCTTCATTAATAATCCATTGGATCATACAACTTGCTTCAGTCCACCAAATCTGAATGGAAGAGGAATCTAACCCTAGAGCTTGAGAGGTGATAGGAATTTCAGTGTTTTATTTTGCTTCTATTATGGGAAGCAACAATATTTCAAACACTGGCTGTTTCCCTAAATTGTGTCCTAGAATGACAATGGCATAGGACCAGAAGCATTGCTGATGTTTAACAGACATTTGGAACATGTGAGAAAGCCACTGAAATTTGGGAGCTGTGTGCTGTTGCTACATACCTTGCCCTGTTCTGACTGGTATCTCATGCTTAATCTGTAGGATTTTGGAGGAAGAAATAATCCCCAAGGGTGTGGACATAGAAACTGAATGGAATAATGAGAAATATGGAGTTTATTTTCACCAATGGGTATTGGATTTGTTATAGGGAAATAAGGGGAGTTAAAGTATGTGCATGGGGCTTTGAACTGTTCACTACCTGTTTGGGAAAAGCAGTACACCAGGCTGGCTCTCTCACAGGGGCTGGGCAGGCAGTGAATTATTTCAGGGAGGGATGTTGGGTCTAAACTGTGAACAAGAGAAGGCCACTTGGAAATCTGGAAAGATTTCAAACATGATGACAATGTTCATTCTGTATTCTTGTACAGTTGTAATGGCAAAAGGCTGGATTAGAGCGCTGATTGGCTACAGGAGGTACTTTCCAGTGAGCGGACTGAGGAGGGAGATTGAGGAAGCTCTCAATCAAGGGCCATGTTCAGAGCTTGCTGTCCTAAGTGAACAGTTCCATCCCACGACACTTTCCTTTCCCTCTTTGTTCCTTCTTCTCAGTGCAAAACTAATTCTTTCTTTCCCCTTTTGCCTCTCAGTAATATTCAACTGCCTCCATCCCAGCCCTATTCTTTCCAATACTTTATAGCATTTTCTTGATCATTCTAATCTCAAACCCATAGATATTATAATATATCTGTTAATATAAGTAAAAATTCCCACCAGTACACACTCTACTGCATTCTACGAGAGAAATAAAAGAAAATCATTAAAATAGCCCATAATTCAGTGTGTGCTCAGGTGAGACAATACTAAGAGACACAGTTTATGTGGCATTGCCCACCTGTCTTTATGCGGTAGTCATTTCCAGTACCACATGAACATCCTTTGTGTTTACATACAAAACAGAGCCAGGCTATAAACTGATAAATGCAGGTGGGCTTTTACTTCTGTATGTGTCCTGCATGGTGCTAAGAGCCAGGCAGAGTGAGAGGCTGGTTCTTCATTGTGGAGGACTCCAGGATGGCAGGCGTCAAACAGCATTCTCTGCCCGGCTCTGTGACAGCCATGTGTGCCCCATGTTCCCTGAAAGTCTGTTTGTGGAGAGTCTGGGCTAGATTTTGGAGTTACTGTTCTTTAGCACTGCTCTGCTTGCTCAAAGTGTCTGGTGTGTAGTGCCATCAGCTTGCATGTAGTCTCATTGTCCTTTATCAGACACCATAAACTCTGACCTTCAGCTCCGGTTGTGGATTGTGTTTGTCTCTTGTGCTGGTTCAGCTTAATTGTGTCAACTCATTTGGCTTGGGAACTGCCTCTGGGTACTTAACACTGGTGAAACACACTTCCTTCCCCTTCTCTCTGTTCCTCTCCCCTCCCCTCCCCTTCCCTCTCATCCCCTACCCTTCCTTTCCCTCTTGTCCCCTACAAATGTCTCAAATATGTCATTCTTTATAGCATAGCAGTATTCCCTTGTACATGGATACCACATTTTTTTTTATGCAATGATGTGTTGGTGGGAGACAGGCTGTTTCCAGGCTTTAGCTGTTAGGATTGATGCTGCTAGAAACATTGGTGTACGTGTATCCTAGAGTATAAGTCAAGACCATAATCTTAAGTGAAGTAAGTCAGACACACAAGTTTCAATGTCACATTGTTTCTTTGAAATAAAGGACAAAATAGAGGGTGGATGCTGGAAAGTAGGAAGAATTGTTCAAAGGGAAAGTGACAGGGGAGGGGAGGGGAAGGACTAGAAAAGGGATTTTTAAAAATCAGAGAAGTGAAGGAAAAAATGGCAACAGAGCTTTTGTAAGTGGGGAGAAGAGTTGGAGGGAGGGTAAGGGGACTGGAAAAAATTAAAGTATATTGTAAACAGGTGCAAATTCCCCATGTTGGATGTGACATTATGTATAGACTAATAAAAATTTTAGTTTATAGTGCGATATCCTATCCTCAAATTGTTAGAAGTGCTGGTCATTTATTTGCCATTCCAGTATTTATCTTATGTTTTACTCTTAGTACTTCTTTGCTATCATGAAAACTTTTTCTTAGTTCAATTGTTTTGAATCATTTAATTTTCTGAATATTGGCTGGGGATATAGCTCAGTAGAATAAGTGCTTCCCTGGCAAGAGCAAGGGCCTGAGTTCAATCCCCGGTTCCGCCAAAAAATAAAAATAAATAAAAATAATTTTTTGAATATTGCTTAATCTTAATTTTTGTTCTAAGATTTATACTGTATCTTTGACTTACAATTTATTTAAAAAGATATTGTATGATATCTT